GGGAGAGAGGGGGAGGGGGGAGGAAGAGGAGCACAAGACCAGTTCCTGAGATGGAGTGGGGTAGTAGACAGGCAGGTCCTTCAAAAGCCCTGGAGTGATCCCCAGCTGACACATCTGCTGGTCAATACCAGGATTCTTAGAAACGAGTCAGGCAGAGCAGGTATGGGGGTAAGGATAGGGGAGGGCTAGATCCCAGCACTGTCCCCAGTTCCCAGAAGGTTGACTGGCAGGAGATACACACCCTAGGTGAGGAGGGGAAGATGAGCCTGAGGAGCTGGGGAGGACAAAGGAGAGACACAGCTGACTGCTTATCTCTCAGGCCCTGTGCAATGGTGGTCCCTGACTTTGAACTGATCTGTGAGATCATGCTGGTGGCCGAGGGCTTCTTGGATGCCCGCCTGCTGGCCCGGAAGTTCATCACACTCTACACCCTGTGCAAAGAGCTGCTCTCAAAGCAGGTGTGTGCTTCCAGTTCCTGGGGCTCCTAGAACATGGGGCACACAGGCCAGCTTTGGGGGACCCCAGAGCCACCCTGGGTCAGACACTGGCCAGGTGGCCAAGGCTTGGGAAGGCACATACATGTCTGTACCCTCCCCACAGGACCATTATGACTGGGGCCTGCGGGCCATCAAATCCGTGCTGGTAGTGGCTGGCTCCCTGAAGAGAGCGGACCCTACCCGAGCAGAGGATCAGGTGCTCATGAGGGCCCTGAGAGACTTCAACATCCCCAAGATTGTGACTGACGACTTGCCGGTGTTTATGGGGCTGATTGGGGACCTCTTCCCTGCCCTGGATGTGCCCCGGAAGCGAGACCTGAATTTTGAGAAGGTCACTGGTTCCCCCTCCACCCACCCCCACCCCCCACTTTGCTTATAACTCCCCTGTCTACCCCAGGTCTCAGTGCTGAGGGTCACATGGAGAGCTGTTTGGGGTCTGGGAGACTGTGGGTTCTGGGTAGCATCAGTGGTAGAATCGCGAGCACACCCAAGCTGAAGGCATCTCGAGCTGTGCCGGAAGCCAGTGTTGACTGCGCCCCACCCTCCCGGCACCCTCCAGATCATCAAGCAGAGCATCATAGAGCTCAGGCTGCAGGCCGAGGACAGCTTTGTGCTGAAGGTGGTGCAGCTGGAGGAGTTACTGCAAGTCCGACACTCGGTGTTTGTCATCGGGAACGCAGGCAGTGGCAAATCCCAGGCACGTTATACCAAAAGTCATTTCCAAAACCAGGTCGCAGGGAAGGTTAGGGGGATAGCTCAGTTGGTAAAGTGTTTGCCTCTCAGGCACAAAGACCTGAGTTTGATCCCCAGTAAAAACCCATAGTGTCATGTGCCTGCTGGCCAGCCCTTCCTGGTCTGCTTGGTGAGCTCTAGACCAATGAGGGACCCTGTCTCTAAAGGAAACGGATGACATTTATGAGGGTGATACCCAAGGTTACCCTCTGGCCTCCACATGCACACACACACGGACACATACATGTGTACTAAAACAAAGACTAGTCACAAGGGAACTCAGCAGCAAGTCATTGTTTAAAAAGCAGGAACTACAAGCACTCAGCTTTCTTTTCAAAAAGATATATATGCGTGTACGTGCGAGCGTGCGCGTGTGTACACAAACTCACACACAGATATCCTCAAGTTCTTAAAATCCATTTCTCTGGGTAGAAGAATTACAGGTAGTTTTCTTCCCTGAATGTTTTTTCAGTGTATTCCTTGTGCATCGAGAACGTACGAAGCCTGTGGTTTTTAGGGTTTTAGTGCAGTCTTGTGTACTCTCTGGGATCTGGGATGCCGACCCACCTGCACTCACCAAGGCAACCTGGCCCAGAGAAGGGATGCTGCAGGAAGTTAACAAAGATTTCTGTCAGGGACCGCATAAAGGGCTGCCCCATGAAAACCGCATGCAGGGCCCTGGGTGCAGGTGCTGTGGATGTCGAGTCACGTGAGTGACGTCCGCCCTTGCCAGGTCCTCAGATCCCTCAACAAGACCTATCAGAGCCTGAAGAGGAAGCCGGTGACTGTGGACCTGGACCCAAAGGCTGTCACCTGTGATGAACTGTTTGGTATCATCAACCCAGCGACCAGGGAGTGGAAAGACGGTAAGGAGCGGGGAGGTAGGGGAGTCGCCTCCCTGACGCTCTCTGGGCTCAGTGCAGTGGCATTTTCTAAGACTCAGCCGTGTACTTAGGCAGGCTCCCTGAGAGGGTGCACAGCCTACATGGGCCCAGGCCAAGAAGGAAAAGGGCTGATCGGTCAGTGCTGGGGCACGCCAGGCACAGTGCACCAGGCAGGGAAGGAGGCTGAGACCAACCCAGCAGGCTAAGGGGAGCCCCCTACCCTGAGGTGGACCCATGGGCTGTACTGAGCGTTGCAGCACCCCCCACCCCGCACCTCTGGTAGTGAAGGTCAGGCCTCTGTCCACCAGGGTCTGGGACAGAAGCCAAGCAAGGCCTTGTTCCCCATGGGAGGCAGCACCCTCCCCTCCTACCTGCCTCCTCTCTCTGGTTGTCCCTCCCCACTCCTGTGTGCGAAAGGCTCACATTTCTACATGGGCACCTCAGTTGTCCCTCGTGAAGAAGCAAGCTCTCTGTGAGTGACAGAGTCTTGACTGTCCAGGGCTTTGTCCCCAAGCCCTCCCCAGTCCTTTTCCATGTGGGACATACGGAGAATGCATCCGTGGGTGAATGAATCAGTGAGTGGAGGGCCACACATAGAGGTGTCGTGCCACCCGAGCTTGCTGATCTCAAAAGACTGAGGCAGGCAGGAGCCACGGAGGGCTCAGTGGTGGGAAGTGGGGCTCAGAAGAGGGCAAGGGTAGGGCTTGGGATAGAAACCTCAAAGAGGGAAGGCTGCCGGTCATCAGGGCAAGAGGGAGGAGGGGAATGAGCCAGCCTCCTCTCTGAGGGAACTGTTGTCCCTCTAAAGTAGGGGACAGGCCACCTCTGAGGGATCGAAAGCCAGACCAAGTTCAGGTTCCTCTGGGGGTAAAGGAGTGAAGGCCCCAGAGTGCCTGTCATACCATTCAGCCCCCTCAGACGTGGGTTCAGGTTCCTCTGGGGGTAAAGGAGTGAAGGCCCCAGAGTGCCTGTCATACCATTCAGCCCCCTCAGACGTGGCCACAAGTGTCACCGGACTGCCTCCTTACAGGTCTGTTCTCAACCATCATGCGGGACCTGGCCAATATCACGCACGATGGTCCCAAATGGATTGTCCTGGATGGGGACATAGACCCCATGTGGATCGAGTCCCTTAACACCGTCATGGATGACAACAAGGTGCATGGCTCCTGGCTTCCCAGCTGTCTCCCCATATCGCCCTCGTGAGAAGGGGCAGTGAGAGGGCAACGCACAGTGCGCACACAGTGCTGGGGGTGGGCAGGGCCCGGGAGGGAGTCTGTTGAAACTAGAACACAAAGACATGAACTGTGGACAGCAGCCACCACAAGACATTCTCCACATAGAAGGCAGATTTGCCTGCGCCTCAGCCTGCCAGTGTTGCTGGGGTAAAGCTCAGGAGCACATTTTCTAACTCACAAGTTGTTTCGGTTAGGTAAAAAGGCCTTTAGAATAGTCTAGAAGCAGTGTAAGAAAATAATTCTCCCCAGCACTCAGGAACCATGAGTTTGTGGCCAGCCTGAGCTGCACAGCGAGACCTTGTCCCAAAAAGAAAAATGAAGGGGCTGGAGAGATGGCTTGGTGGTTAAGAACACTGGGTGTTCTTGCAGAAGACCCAGGTTCGAATCCCAGCACCCACATGGCAGCTGTCCATAACTCCAGTCCCAGGGGATCCGACAGCCTCTTCTGACCTCTACAGGCATTGCCCGACACAGGTGAACTTACATACATGCAGGCAATACACATATATACATAAAGTAATAAATTAAAAAGATTTAAAAAAAAACGAAAAAGGATTTCTCAACTGGGTAGAAGAGGACACAGGAGAATTTCCTTGGCGGGAAGGAAGAGAAAATTTAATGTAACTGTACAGTGCCAGATGGTGTACAGAGCTGTCCACGCTGCCTAGGAGCCAGGCCGGGTGTGGAGGGAGTTGAAAGCAAGGAGGTCCAAGAGATGTAGACAGTCAGTGTGGCGGTATTTACCTCCCTCGGTGACGTCTCACTGGGGCACCACCACTGACCAATGGGCTTGCTCTCCCCTCCTTAGGTCCTCACCCTGGCCAGTAATGAACGAATCCCCTTGAATCGCACCATGAGGCTGGTGTTTGAGATCAGCCACCTGAGGACAGCCACCCCGGCCACCGTTTCCAGGGCCGGCATACTCTACATCAACCCCGCTGATCTTGGGTGGAACCCGTAAGTAGGGTTTGGCCTTTCCTTTCTCACGCTGTGGCAGAGAAAGCGGGCAGCGGCTGTGTCAGGGTGTATGCCTGCATGTCCCCATCCATTCACATAAGTACCACGTGCCATTTCACTTCAGTGTCACAACAGGGAAGGGACGAGACGTGTAAGGAAGGGATGGAGCTACACAGTGACATCACAGCGTGGCAGCTGGTGAAACAGATACAAAAGCTGTGGCTCGGTGCTGGGCAGCGGAGAGGAGAGGCCTACACAGAGAGGCTGTTTGTCTTCCTTCCACCTGAGCAGAAAGAGAGTTCTCAAAAAGGACAGGAGCTGGGTCAGCCTTCTATACGAGAACTGGCACTTGTGGGAAGGCTCCTGGGATGGATGAAGGAACCGTTTGTGACAAGAAGAGGGGTCTCGGCCATGCCCGTGGACAGTGTGTGGCCCACTAGGTGGAAGAGGAAGGCACAGACTTGAGAACAGGTTGAAGTCTTGAGAAATGGCAGACCCGATGTTGATTCTGGGGGCGTGTTTTCCTGCTTGGACACATGGCCAATGGTTGACAGAATAGTAGAAATTCAGGGGACACAGAAATTACAGCCTGGAGCCAATATAGTGAATCAGCTGGAACAGAAATCCCGTGGAGCATTCCAGGAGCCACTGGCTCAGGATGAGCAGCTCAGCTGAAGGTAGCAAGTCACAAGTCCATCTATCCACCCACCATTCACCAGTCCACTTACCTACTCATTCATCCATCCATCTATCCATTCACAGAACCATCAACTCACCCATCCACTCATCCATCCTCCCACTCATCTACCCACCCATCCATCCATCTACCCACCCAGCCACCCACCCATCCATCCATCCACCCACTCATCTACCCACCCATCCATCCATCCACCCACCCAGCCACCCACCCATCCATCCATCCACCCACCCATCCACCTATCTACCCACCCATCCACCCATCCATCCATCCATCCACCCATCCATCCATCCACCCACCTATCTACCCACCCATCCATCCACCCATCCATCCATCCACCCACCCATCTACCTATCTACCCATCCATCCACCCACCTACCCACCCAGCCAGCCAGCCATACACCCACCCATCCATCCATCCACTCATCCATCCATGTATCCAACTGGCCCTTTCTAGATACCTGCTGTGTGTTTTAGACCCTAGAACATTCCATGCTGGGGAAGTGGATTCTCTAGGAAAGGTGTGCTTCAGGATAACAGAAGTTCATTTTCTGGACAAAACTTACAGCTGTGTTGGGAAGGAAGAGTCCAGAACAGATTCCCAGAAGCAGTGGCAGAAAAGACTCTGGGCCAGTGGTGAGACATAGACACCCAGGGAGAAGCTGCAGCAGACGGGAATCTGACAGGATCCCACCTGAGAGACAAGCAAGTTTAAGAAGGACGTTGGCCTGGACCTGGCAGCCGGGTGCCTGTCAGTAACTCAGGATAGAGTGGCACACTGGGGCAGAAGCCACAGAGCGGCCCCAGAACCAAAACTGTCTGGAAGCTCTGCCTCCAAGTGCTTCGGGGGTGCTGCAGCAAGAGACGAGAAGCTTATTCTGTCAAGTTGAGAACCAGGCTTGCGCACAAGGACCAAACCTGGGGGTATCCAGGTGCATGCCTGTCTATGGGTGGAGAGAAGAGAGTGGAAGTCCGTGCTTGAGGCTCCTTGTTCCTTCTGCAGTAAGTGTCTGCTGGGAGGAAGGCATCTGTATAGAGACAGGCAGAGCTGGAGTGTCATGTCTGTTAGCCACAGGTGGTTGGGAGCCACCAGGAGCTGGCAGAGGCTGAGACCAATCCTGCCCCACAGCCCTCCCTCAGGCTTCATGGTCTGGGCTCAGCGCAATTCAGGAGACCCTCCTCTGGAGACCCTTACCTTAACTGTACCCATACGGGCCCCTGCTCTATGTGAGGCCACATTCTGAGTGTCTGGGTGAATGGTGTGGCTGCCATTCTGCCCTCTGCAACAGGCTGAGCTTTCAGGATGAACAGAAAGCAGGACATAGAGACTGAAAGGAGCCTGGGTAGGAGCTGCTGAACTGCAGGGAGACAGAAGATGAAGACTTGTGGGGCACACAGGAGGACAGGAGATGGCGGATCACAGGCCACATGGGGGTACAAAAGGAGACAGGGTCATGGGGCACAGCCATAGTGGCAGTCAGGAGAGAGCCAGAGGTAAATTTGGTGAGGGCAGAGGCAGGAACTGGACACACTCCCCGAGTGCCCCAGGAGAAGCAGGACAGGAAGTTCTGCTGGAGGGAAAAAGAAACAAGTTGAAGTCAGTCAGGAGCAGCAGCCCTCTGGCAGGTGGCCGCACTGGAGGCTGGAGAAGCCCCCCAGCCCACGGGAACATAGAACCAATGCTGTGCCTCTGCTGCCTCTGAGAATGTGCTGGAAGTGCCTGGACCTGTTGGGAAGGTGGACCCAATGCCCCCAAGTGTGTCTGCCTGGGTCTGTGCACAGATGGAAGCCAGCGCGCTTCAGACAGGATTCAGCTCAGACAGCAAAGCAGCAGCCTGAGTCCCTGCACCTTGGGCCACCCTGCTGAGGACCACCTGCACCTGGAGTTCACATCCGTGGTGCATCCCACATGGAGACCCCGTGTTCTGTTTGGAGACATTGTTGGTTTGAAGGTTGCTCTACCGTGCTGGTAAGCAGGTGCCATGGGCCCTGCCCTAAGTCTCTGTCTTCTGTCCCACAGCAGAGCAGGAAGGAAGCAGAGCTTCCAGAATGCTCTTGGGGAGGCCCGTGGGTCCCGGCTGTGGACGGCCACCTCGCTGTGTTTGGAAATGTGAGCTTCCTGCCATTACCTCGGGCATCCTGGCAATGACGCACACTCCAAGCTCGCTGATCCTCAAGGGAGACTGGCACTATTTTTATTTCCAGCAGACTCTCCTCTGGCACTCACCATGGACCAGGTTCCCTTCTATGAGCTTTAAAAAGAGCCCACACCGGCCTCGGAAATGGAGGTGACATAAACACAACCCAGCTTAGAGATGCAAGTCTAGGATCCAGGGATGTGGAGTGACTTGCCTCAGGTAGCTGCTGGCCATGGTCCACCATGCAAGCCCAGGTAGCCAGCTCAGCTTCCCTGCCCCTCGCCACCACCATGCCAGGGCATGATATCATGCCACACAATCCAGAGTGGCCCCCAAGAGTCGCCTAGTGTGTGGACTGAGACTCTTCCATTGAATGTGTTAAATCCAACTCCAGCTCACTGAAACCAGATCTCTGTCTACATATACATGTATGGATGTATGCATGCACACACACGTGGACTCAGGTCAAGGCACAGTTGGATGCAGAGGTTGGAATGACATCATGGGGCAGCCCAGCTCCTCTCCTCTTCTCTCTTCAAGCCTCAGTTTTTCCCTCACCCCGATAACGATATGAGATCTTTTCCTTCTTCTCCTATCCCACAGCCCTTCATATTAGCGTCAACTGGGAGCAGATGTTTCCTGGGTGGCAGCGGGAGTGACCCCCAAGGGTCTGGGGGTGCAGCTCAGCTGGCACAGTGCTTGCCTGGTCTGCACAAAGCCCTGGGTTCCGTCCCTAGCATCAACCGAACATGGTGTTGCATGCCTGTAATCCCAGAACTTGGGAAGTGAAGATGGGAGGATGAGTTCAAAGCCATCCTTAGATACAAAGTGAATTTGACGGCAGCCTGGAGTACGAGACACAGAATCAAAAAAAAAAAGTGGGGACTGGAGAGGTGGCTCAGTGGTTAAGTGCGCTGGCTGCTCTTGCAGAAGACCCAGGTTCAGTTCCCAGTTCCAGGGGCTCTGAAGCCCTCTTCTGGCCTCTCTGGGCATTGTAGGCGTGTGGTGCACCTATATACAGGCAGTCAAAACTCTTACAGAAAATAAACATTCTTTAAAGGTTCCCAGGTGTTCTGGGCTTATAGATCCCCAGGGCCGGCAACCGAGAGAAAGATCACAGTCCTCACAAGCCCCGCATCCCCATCAGATCCTCTCAGGATCTGCAGACAGCCTGGACGGGGCCCTCATTTGGCACTGTCACACGGGAGACTGAGTCACATTTCCAACACTGCGGCCACCCACTGGTTACTCAAGCGAGGCAGAAAGTGCTTGCTACCGGGAGGGGCTCAAAGCGGTCACCGGCCCCTCTCCCCAGAGTGGTGAGCAGCTGGATCGAGAGGCGCACGGTGCAGTCGGAGAAGGCCAACCTGACCATCCTTTTCGACAAGTACCTGCCCACATGCCTGGACAAGCTGCGCTTTGGATTTAAGAGGATCACTCCAGTGCCTGAGATCACTGTGATTCAGACCATCCTGTACCTGCTGGAGTGCCTGCTCACGGAGAAGAACGCTCCTCCCGACTCCCCCAAGGAGCTCTACGAGCTCTACTTTGTCTTCGCCTGCTTCTGGGCTTTTGGTGGCTCCATGTTCCAGGACCAGGTGACAGGTGCCCTGGGGACCCAGCCACCTGGATGGTGGCTCACCTGCAGCCCGCTTAGCTGGGCCCTTTGCTGCTTCTTACTTTCTTATTTTGTTTTTAAACAGCTCATTGATTATCGGGTTGAGTTCAGCAAGTGGTGGATCAATGAATTTAAAACCATCAAGTTGCCTTCGCAGGGGACCATTTTTGACTACTACATTGACCCAGAAAGTAAAAAGTTCCTGCCGTGGACGGACAAAGTGCCTGCTTTCCAACTGGACCCTGACGTCCCACTGCAGGTAACCTTTCCAGAAGTGGCAGGGAGTGCGGTTCAGTGTCCCACCCACTCTAGCCTGGGCGGCCTGTCCATATGCAAGCCATCTTCAACAGCAGCATCCTTTAGCGATGGTGGGGATTTAGAAAGCCCCTGAGAACTGCACACCTGGCGCCAACCGCCAGGTGGAACTGGGTGGGTTGTCTGAGAGCCCCTCCCCTTCCAACACCCCCCGCCAACACACACACACTCCCAGGCCTCTCTAGTCCACACCACGGAGACCATACGCATCCGGTACTTCATGGATCTGCTCATGGAGAAGTCCTGGCCTGTGATGCTGGTGGGGAACGCCGGCACCGGCAAGTCGGTGCTGATGGAGGACAAACTGGAGAACCTCAGCACCGATGACTACTTGGTGCAGGCCATACCCTTCAATTTCTACACGACCTCTGCCATGCTGCAGGGTGAGATGGGATGGGCTCCATCCTCATACCTCCCTAACCCCATTTCCTGTCACCCCCACCGCTGCAGGCTTGGGGACCACTAGCCTTTCCCCCATGGAGGCACCTGTGCAGTAGCCAAGGCCCCTCCAAGTACCCCAGGCAGATGCTGCAGTGGTGGGCACCGAGGGTCCCGCTGAAAATATGTCAGACCGGTGGGGTAGCACCTAGGCTGACCCAGAGCAAAGTTCCCGCCCCTCAGCCTCTGGTGTTTACTCTGAAGCTGTCCATGGTAGAGGCCTGCTTCCCACAATACCCCTAAGGGTCTCTCCCTGGGACAGGCACATCCTGTGAACCTGCTTCCCTGCCTCTGACCCCATCCCCATCCCCACAGCCCACAGCCTTGCCCTATCTACCAGGTATTGGCTTAGGATGTGTGGGTGGTAGATGACCTCCTACCCTCCCCAGGGGTGCTGGAGAAGCCTCTAGAAAAGAAGTCGGGGAGGAACTATGGGCCCCCGGGCACCAAGAAGCTCATCTACTTCATTGATGACATGAACATGCCCGAAGTGGACAAATATGGGACAGTGGCCCCTCACACCCTCATCCGCCAGCACATGGACCATGGACACTGGTGAGGGCCATGAATGGGCTAAAAGTTGTGGGGGCTTCCTTTTTTATTAAAATATTTTATCTATTATTTTAATTTTATGTGTATGAATGTGTTGTCTGCATGTGTGTAAGTGCACCCATGTCATACAATGCCCACGGTGGTCAGAAGAGGGCATTGACCCCTGGAACTGAAGTTATGAATGGTTGTTAGCTGCCATGTGGGTGCTGGGAATGAAACCTGGGTCCTCTGCAAGAGCAGCCCGCACTTTTAACAGCTAAGCCCCGGATGTCTGCCTCTTAAAGTGACAAGCAGTCCAGGCCAAAGTCGGGAGGAGTTGAGATCATAGGAACCCCAGAAGTCAGTCACTTAGTGGGTTTTCAGAGTTCCCCACAATTGCCAAGAAATGGAACAGGAGAGCCAGGCTGACTGCTCCAGGTCATGGCCCTAACAAGGGACTATCCCAAAATACCTGATGCCACAGCCAGGGCCAGGACACCCTGAGGCTGTATGTGGGAACAGCTAGCTAGCTCAGCCCAGCCAAAGTAATGGCTACATGCAGGGGCCCTCTAGAGGGTACCACGCCTTTGAGAAAGGGAGAGAGGTGTGGGACAGGGAGTGGAGGCAGGGAAGTAATGACGGTGCCCCCAGGTGGCCTTGGCCCAACCCCCACACAGGGCCCTGCTGAGCCCCCCACGAGGCTTCCCAGGGTCAAACACTCCAGGAGGATTCGCCAAGACCCTTGTGCTTTCTCCCCTAAATAGACCCTCCCACTTGTTAACCTCCAGCTACAGCCAGACCCATAGCTGCCCTCAGTTTGCCCTGAAGAAGCCTCAGAAATGAAGTGGGGGGGCAGATTTGGGTTTTCCAAAGATCCAATAGAAGCCAGCAAGAGGGTTTAGTGTGCTGCCAAGGTTAACGATGTGAGTTTGATCCCAGGGATCCACATGATGGAAAGAGAGAACTGACTCTGTATTCTGCACACACACACACACACACACACACAGACTTAGACACACACAGACACACACACACACACAGACTTAGACACACACACACAGACACACACACACATACACACACACAGACACATACACACACACAGACACACACAGACACACACACACAGACACAGACAGACACACACACACAGACACACACACACACACAGACTTAGACACACACAGACACACACACACACAGACTTAGACACACACAGACACACACACACACAGACTTAGACACACACAGACACACACACACACAGACTTAGACACACACAGACACACACACACACAGACTTAGACACACACAGACACACACACACACAGACTTAGACACACACAGACACACACACACACAGACTTAGACACACACAGACACACACACACACAGACTTAGACACACACAGACACATACACACACACAGACACACACACACACACAGACTTAGACACACACATACACACACACAGACACACACAGACACACACACAGACAGACATACACATACAGACACACACAGACACACACACAGACACACAGACACACACACACATACACACATAGACACACACATACAGACACACATACACACAGACAGACACACACACACATACACACACAGACACACATACACACACACAAATAAATAAATAAATGTAACAGGATCTATGTAGGTGACAGCAGGGACAAAGGGCCCCCTACTGTGGGCGTGTTAGGAACTTATCTGGGTCAGTGCAGAAGGGTGCCTGACCCAGAGACACTGAAGGGTGCAGGGACATTGGAGTGCAGGCCTACAGGCTAGAGGTCAATCTCCAGGAGCCTAGGAAATGGAGGAGGTTGGGGCGAGGGGTTGGGGGGCGTTGGGGGGGTCGTCTCAGAGAAAAGTTTCCAATGGCAAAATTAAAGGCAAAAAAAAATTGCTGCCATGGTTTATATCAGAGTTAGAGAATTCTGTATGACAGGAGATACCGTAGGCAGGCATAATAGTCACCAGATGGGAGAACTGTGTACAATGGACGGAAGATTAATGTCTGGAACATGCCAGTAATTCCTGGCGGTTATCAAGAGGCAGTGGCCACAGGAAGGGAAGGAAAGCAGGAAAGTCACAAGTGTGACCCTGTCCCAACATCGCAGAGCGCCCGGCTCCCTTGATAATAAGCAGAGTGAGTGTCTGGAGATGTGGCACGGTGGGCGGTATGCCTGCCTAGCATGCACAAGGCCCTGGGTTCATCTTCAAGTACCACATAAACCAAGGTTAGTGGTGCACACTTGTAATCCCAGTATTCAGGAAGTTTAGGCAAGAAAATCAGAAGTTCAAGGTCACCCTCAGCTACGTAGGGAGTTAGTGACCAGCCTAGGATACATGAGACCCTACCTCAAAAAAGCACAAAAAATAGGTCAGGCTCACACCTTTAGTGCCAGCACTCGGGAGGCAGAGGCAGGCAGATCTCTGTGAGTTCAAGGCCGGCCTGGTCTGCATAGCTAGTTCCAGGCCAGCTGAGGCTACAGGGAGACCCTGTCTCAAAAAAGACCAAAAAAAAAAAAAAAAAAAAACCCACAAAAATTTAGCTGAGTGATCCATAGGATATGGGTATATGGGTATGTTGGCACACACATATAATCCTAGCACTCAAGAGGCTGAGGCAGAATTGCCTCTAGTTCAGGGCCAACCTTGGCTAAAGGGGCTTGAGAGATGGCTCAGCAGTTAAGAGAACTTACTGACTGCTATTGCAGAGGACCCAGCTTCGGTTCCCAGCACCAACATGACAGCTAATAGTCATCCATAACTCCAGGTCCAGGGGATCCAACACCCTCTTTTGGCATCTGTGGGCATTGCAAGCATATGGTACACTCACATACATCCATGCAAAACACTTATACACATAAAATTTTAAAATAAATAGTTAAAAAATGCATCTGCCGGGCGTGGCGGCACACGCCTTTAATCCCAGCACTTGGGAGGCAGAGGCCAGTTGATCTCTGTGAGTTCAAGGCTAGCCTGGTCCACATAGTGAGTTCAGGACAGCTGGGGCAACAGGGAGACCCTGTCTCAAAAAGACCAAAAAAAAAAAAAAAAAAACCAAAAAAATGCACACAGTAGGGGCCGGAGAGAGGACTCAGTGGTTAAGAGCACTGACTGCTGTTACAGAGGACCTGGGTTCGATTCCCAGCACCCATATGGTGGCTAACATCCAACTATCTATAACTCCAGTTCCAGGGGAATCCGATGCCCTCTTCTGACCTCCATGGGCATTGCACGGCACAGGTGCAGTTACATACATGCAAGCTATACACTCATACACATACAATAAAAATAATGAATAAAATATATTTTTTTAAATGTACAGGGTATTCCTGGGGCAGGAAGCATATTCGGCTAGCAGGTGCCCTTGCCTGCCCTGGCTCCTGCACCCTCATAGTGACCTCACACACAGGTGGGAGTATCAAGGTGCCAAGCAGTTAGCCAGCCCAATAGGACCCACTGCTTTCCAGGGAGAGCTGGACTTTAAGCCCCACTATGCTCAAAGATGCTCTGCCTCCGTTTCAAAGTGTCCCTCGACACTGAAGTACAGTGGTTCTGTGCTACTGCAGTGTTGTGGTTTCCTTCTTTACCCACATGCAGGGCACTCAAGGGGAGGAAGACTCCTCAGCCCTGTGGCACAGTGTTTATGCTGGTTGCTCTGACGCAGGTATGACAGACAGAAACTGACGTTAAGGGATGTCCACAACTGTCAGTATGTGGCTTGTATGAACCCCACGTCTGGCTCCTTCACCATTGACCCCAGGCTTCAGGTAAGCAACAGTCAAACACTCCCGTCAGCTGCTCTGGGCTGTGGCCAGATTTGACAAATGATACAGCCTTGGTTTGGGGGTGTTAGAGCCTTGAGCTGGAATGCTCCAGAGAACTCTCCATGCTTTTCCATGTGAGGAAATTGAGGGGAGCCAAACAGCCCTCCTCAGAGATGCCAGATTTACTAAGTGAAAATTCAGACGTGCCAGGTATGGTGTGCACACCTGTAATCCTAGCACTTGGGATGTATCAGCAGAAAGGTCATGAGTTCAAGGCTAGCACGGGCTATATTGGAAGGCCTGGTCTTAGGACTGTTAAGATTGGGAGTGTAGCTCAAAAGGCCTAGCATGTACAAGGTCCTGGGTTAGATCCCCAGAAAACACACACACACACACACACACACACACACACACACACGCACACACGGCAGACACCCCAGCTATACCTGAATTTCAGATTAACCAGAAATATTTTTAGTATAACTAGGTTCCATATAACATTAAGACAGACTTATGCTCAAAGCAGCATTGCAGGGTATCTGAAATTCAAATTTATTATTATTATCAGATTGTATCTCCAATCATGCTCAGGCAGATGTCCCCTCCAAATTACCAAAGCCAGAGGGACCTGGAACATACATGCAGACCCTTCTCTGAGCCATGCTGGGCCCCTGCGAAGGCTTTCCTTGATGCCATGCAGTACCCATGACTGCCTCACATAGAGTGGGTATTCAATGAGATTTTGCATGCAAGGCAGAAGGAGGAAGACCGTGCATCACAACCACGCCCCCAAAGACTTACAAAAAAGGGTAGACAGGGTCTGGTCTCCCAAAAATGTGGCTTGGCCGCCTACTAGTCCCCCAGAGCTGCCTGATGGAAGCTTGTGGTTGCCACACAGCGCCATTTCTGTGTGTTTGCCGTGAGCTTCCCTGGCCAGGACGCCCTCACAACCATCTACAACACGATCCTGGCACAGCACCTGTCCTACCGCTCGGCCCCCCTGGTGATCCAGAGAATGAGCAACCATCTGGTGGCCGCGGCACTGGGTAAGCTGGAGTTGCCTCCTCTCGCCTGTTGGTAAAACCTGTTTTATGGGCTGGCAGGTCTTCCTCTTTTCCCCTAGTAAATATTTTATTTATACTTTGGAATCAATATTTTCAAAATGATGCTGTGTCTCAGCTAGAGCTATGTAAAATCCAATTGCTGGGGGGAGGTGGGGATAGATGGTTGAGCAATGCAGTGCACAAGGGTGATTTACAATACCAGCAAATGCCCACCCTCCTTGGAAAGCTGTGCAGATTTCTTAGTTAAATTGTCACCATTTCATAGTCCATTTGCTTTAGAAACTTTAAGCCCTGCACTTCCTGAGGCCATTAAACATCCATGGAATCGATGTACATTTTTCCTCTAACAGCCTTGCATCAGAAAATCACAGCAACGTTTCTTCCCACGGCCATTAAGTTTCATTACGTCTTCAACCTCAGGGACCTCTCCAATATCTTCCAGGTACTGCTCTATAGCTTTTTCTCACGCTGCCTGCGTCCACCTCCCTGGCCCATGGGTGTGCTCTCCCTCTGCAGTGCTCAGGAGAGAAAGCAAAACGACTGTGGACTCAGGGTGATGGTGGTGGTGGTGACACTGGTGATGGTGATGATGGTGACGGAGCTGGTAATGGTGATGATAGTAGGGTTGACGATGGTGATGGTGATGATGTGGTGGGATTGACAGTGGTAATGATGGTGACGATGTGGTTAATGGTGGTGATGGGTTTGATGATGGTGGTGATGGTGATGATGGTGATAATGGTATTGATGGTAGTGATGGTGATGATAATGATGTGATGGTGTTTGTGGTAGTGGTGCTGATGGTGATAATGGTGATGATGGTACTAATGATGGTGGTGATGGTGGTGATGATGATAGTGGTGGGGTTGATGATGGTGGTGATGGTAATGATGGTGGTGAGACTGGTGATGATGGTATTGATGGCAGTGATGGTGGTGATGATGATGTGGTGGTGGTGGTACTGATGGTGATGGTGGTGGTGATGGTGATGATGATGATGGTAGTGATGGTGGTGGTGGGGTTGTGATGGTGATGGTAGTGATGGTGATGGTGGTACTGATGGTAGTGATGGTGGTAATGATGTGACGGTAGTGGTGGTAGTGGTACTGATGGTGATGTTGGTGATGATAGTGGTGATGATGGTAATGGTAATGATGATGGTAGTGAGGGTGGTGGTGGGGTTGAGATAATGGTGATGTTGATGGAGGTAGTGACAGTGATGATGGTGGTGATGGTGGAGATGGCAGTGAGGCTAGTGATGATGGTGATGATTGTGAGGATGTCATGTGATGACTGTGACGATGATGATGGTGACGGTAAGGCTGAAGATGGTGATGAGTGTGATGATGGTGACGTGATAATGACAATCATGTTTCTTCTCGTGCGATGACTTCTTAGTCTGAATCAGGCATTATGCTTAGTCAATTATACATACATTTACTGCTCCAAACTATAAAGCTGGGTCTCATATCCCTATTTTGCAGATGGGAAATCTGAAGCTCAGGGAGGTTAGGTTGGTCTGGTCCCCTCACACTTGAACTGCACAAAGGCCCCTCGCATACACGTACACACACCCCCCCACCCCATTGCCCTGTAGTGGTAATCCCAACACACAGCACAGTATGCCCTGTTTCCCTCTCCTGATTACATCTCCCTTGGAATTCACACTCCATAAATGCAGAGTCTATCTTGTTGTCACTGTAATCCTGGAGCCCAAAGAGTACCTGCAGCCTCTCAGCCAGCACCTGCCAACCCTGTCTGTATTTACCCAGGCTAGACCCATAACACCTGCTGCAGAGCCCAAGTTGTGGCCTTTGAAAATCTAGTCCTTAATCTATGGGCATAATGATGAATTAATTATTATTAAATAATCTATGGAAGCCGGGCATGGTGGCGCACACCTTTAATCCCAGCATTCGGGAGGCAGAGGCAGGCGGATCTCTGAGTTCGAGGCCAGCCTGGTCTACATAGTGAGTTCCAGGACAGCTGGGGCTACAGGGAGACCCTGTCTCAAAAAGACAAAAATAAGATAAAAATAAATACTCTATGGACTCACCTTGAATGAGTCCAGCATCACCTGACCATCTGGTCCCCCAAGAGTCACCACTGTATCCCTTCTTCACTGTGTGGGAGGAAACTCCCCATTCCTCTCAGGACACAGACCCCTCCTCCAGCCTCTGATCTGTGTGTGACCTCAGCAGTGAGTAGCTCCCCTGGCCCTGAGTAGAAGTCATGCTAACTTCACAGATCACGCCCTAGGGAGGCAACTGCCTCCATGTTCCATCCATGTACGGTACTTGGCTTGCCCTCCCAGCACACCCAGGGCTGCTGACAGACCAGAGTGGGAGCAGTGCTGACCGTGCATTATGTATCTGGGCAGGGCCTCTTGTTCTCTACGGCAGAAAGTCTGAAAACCCCCCTGGACATCGTCCGCCTTTGGCTGCATGAGGCTGAGCGGGTATATGGGGACAAGATGGTTGATGAGAAAGACCAGGAGACGTTACGCAGGCTCACCATCACTTCCACCAAGAAATTCTTTGGTGTAAGTCAAGTCACCGATCGAGACTCCAGAGGGTCACGTGTCTGGGGCCAAGGATGCCCACAGCCTCTGGCACAACCCTTTGGAGGAGATGAGAAGACCTATGTTTTGACTCCAACATGTGGCTGTGGATTCAGTAAGAAACAGTTGGCCGCTCAGGGAGTGATGACCCCCTGGCCTCTACTCGGAGTGGGCAGGGCCACCTTGGTCTTTGTTGTCTGATGACAAGTCCTCTATGCAGTCCCATATTGTGAACCATCCCATGGGAGGGGGGTCCCCAGAAGTGTGTAGGGACTGACAGCAGCCATGGTTTGAGTGGTTGGAGATGGCCTAGCATCCTAGGGGCCTCATAGGACCACCTTGACAAGGTGTTATCCCTGGTGGCAAAAAGAATCAAAGTATCTCATGATTAACCCTAGGAACTTGGTGAGGAACACTTATTTGCCAAACCGAACATCTTCTGCCACTTTGCTCAAGGGATCGGTGACCCCAAGTACTTGGCTGTCTTGGATGTGACCTACCTGAACAGGCTTCTTGTCGATGTCCTAGACAGTTATAATGAAGTCAATGCAGTCATGAACTTGGTAAGTGGCACTGGAGCTGACGGTCCAGACAAGGGTCCAGGCAGAACTCCGTCCTGAATCATTGTACAGCAGCAGCCCCTTATCTGTGGGGGACGCCTTCCAAGGCCCCTGGTGGAAACCCCAAATTACTATGTTGTTTCCTACACATGTATGTACCTGTGATAAAGTATCATTTATAAATTCCTCACATTTGAAACCTCAGCTAAGTGGAAGACACATGTCATCAAGACCTACCAGGGATTAGCCAGGCCTGTGCTCTCCACATGGGTGACCTCCTCTCCATAGGGGTGACCCTGTGACCTTGGTGAGAACCTATACTCTCCATAGGGATGACCCCAGGAACTTAGAAAAGGCCTGTGTTCTCCACACGGGTGACCCCAGTATCCCTCTGGCCTCTCCAGGTGCTGTTTGAGGATGCCGTGGCGCATATCTGCAGGATCAACCGCATCCTGGAGTCACCTCGAGGGAATGCCTTGTTGGTGGGCGTGGGGGGCAGCGGGAAACAGAGCCTGTCACGCTTGGCCGCCTACATCAGTGCTCTGGACGTGTTCCAGATCACCCTCAAGAAGGGCTATGGGGTCGTAGATCTCAAGGTGAGGAGTGTCCAAGGGAGGCAGACCAAGAGCCCACCCCCACCCCTTCGCAAAGTGAAGCCAGCCAAGAGAGACACAGGATGTCACCTCTGTCCTCATCTTTATCTTAGAAAGAAAAAACTAGGACACACAATCACTGGTGTGAGCACCCATGAAAGGGCAAGCTAGCCTGCGTCAGTTACCGAGTGACTTGCGTCATGAAGTCAGCAGGGGTTGGCGGGGAAAAGGGTTAGACCCCTGCCCTTGGTCACTGGGTATTCTAAACTGTCCCAAGTTCTTCAAATTAAAGAATTCAGTCATTGCCAGGTCTCTTGCTACATGCCAGAGCCTGGGGCTGATGGCTCATTTTGAATTAACCGAGTGGACTTTAGAGCAGCGTCTCCCGTGCCCCAGACACACTACTGAGGCTTTCTATCGATTCCTCCTTCCTGAACATTTGCTTTCCCAGGGAGCGTGTGCTAGTCAAACACGATTAAGCCAGAACCAAGTCATCAGAGTGCTGGGAAGAGTCTGCAATTGATCAGGGCATACTGCCAGTCATATCTGCATCTGTGCTGAGGTTGCCTCTGCAGGGCCTGGGTGATGCCAGACCTGCCCAGGGAGCCTGTAAGGGGACCCTCCCCACAACACATGGCTCTACAGCAGTCCCTGGCCTGGCTGATTGAGTGGGGCACATCTGGAGCCTGCACAGCTCAGTGCCTGTGACGATAGCAGTGTCTAGACTCAATAGCGTTCTTTTACTTGTGGGTATCAGCCACAGCAGCTCTCTGACCCATTCTTGGGGGATCCGTGAGCCCCCGGCCATGGTAAAGTAGCTGCACACTGATCATCTGTTGTTTGTCAGGCAGCTTCTGTAGAAGGGTGGAGAAAAGATGAGGGAACTCCACGTCCTAGAGGAGCGCCGGCTCCCAAGCATCATTGTTGTCTAACGATGGTGTTACACGGCACATGCACATTCAGGATGCTTTACCACCGTTCTGTAAAGTAAGTCCCCGAGGAGGCGAGCACCTGCCGGAAGTTAGGGATGCGAGAGAAGGCTCGGGAACTGACCCGGAAGCACTTAGGGCGTCACGTGGAAATCATTCATCTTGGTCCCAAGAAACACGTGTGAACACGAGAGAGGCTGGCCTGCCGTGTTCCAGGACAAAGGAGAGTCGTGGGAGAGTGAGTGACAGAGGGGTGGCCCTTGGGGAGGTGTGGCAGGCACGCTGAAGATGGCCTCACACGTGGTCCTGGTCCGCGCGGGGTTCACGAGTGCCCCGGAGGGTCGGGTGGGCTCAGCAGCACTGGAGGGCAGGGTGGAAGTGGGCAAGGAACTCTGGTGCCAGGACGAGCCGCCGAGATGACGCTGCGAACAGAGTCCACGGAGCTCCAGCGTGCGATCGTGCAGGACAAGACGCTGGCAGAGCATCAGTTTGCAGCTCAGACCTCAGGACAGAGGGCTTGGCCCCAAGGTCAGAGCTGCAGAGGTTCCGGGGAGATCTCAGTGGAAAACAAAAACCTTGTATGGTCTCGGTCAACGCAGGGTCTCCAGGGCACCTGGGAAGTGGCCAGAGAGCCCCAGTGGATCCAAGGGAGACGGTTCCTCCCAGCTGCCTTCCCAGGCTGCTTGGCCCAAAGGCTTTTCCAAAATATACCGTTCTGGCGGTAGCTTTACCCTAAGAGGCGGGAGTCCCTGCCTTCTCCAGTCACCCAGGTTTAAAGCCTGCGCTTGGTGGAACCTGACCTCCACAGCTGTCAAGGCACCGCAGGGCTATGGGCAGCCCTGCCAGAAGCTGTCTGGAAGCGTCTGCCGCCCTTCCTGCTGCTTGGTGTAGGTGACGAATTCGTCACTTGTCCCTGAGCCCGGATTTGACAGCCTCTATCCAGCATGTTGAGTGATCTGAAAAACAAGAGGTCCTCACTCGTGCCTCAGCGGCCGTCGCAGTGGACTCCCACCTGCAGGCCTGTCCAAGGTCACTCCCCCGCAAGAATTCACCTGTAGCCTCGGCTTTTCTGAATTCAGTGACTCTTGTCAATTTTGAAAAAAAAAATAGCTTGTCAAAAACAGAGTCTGAGGTCTGCTTTGACCAGCATGGACTCGTGAAGAGCCTTGGTGACATTTCTCTGAACTGAGGCACTGGGGTTCGCATCCAAAGGATGAGCTAAGCCATTCAGGGGTCTGTCCCCTAGAGGTCTATTAAACCTTTTAGACAATTACAGAGAACTTCAGGTCTTATTAAAAGTATATTGGGGCCAGGCATGGTGGCACACGCATACAGTCCCATTATTCAGGAGGCGGAGACAGAAGGATCAAGGGTTGTAGTGAGACCCAATCTCAGAAAAAAAGGAGAAAGAAGATGGAGATGTAGCTCAGTAGGACAGCACTCGTCTAACAGGCACAACGCAAGGTCTTGACTTCTATTCCAAGCACTTCAAGAAGGAAAGAAGAGCTGGACGCATGGTGGTGGCGCACGCCTTTAATCCCAGCACTTGGGAGGCAGAGGCAGACAGATCTCTGTGAGTTCAAGGCCAGCCTGGTCTACACAGTGAGTTCCAGGACAGCTGGGGCTACAGGGAGACCCTGTCTCAAAAAGACTAAAAAATATATATATATCCTTGGGGCTGGAGAGATGGCTCAGCAGTTAAGAGGACTGACTGCTCTTGCAGAAGATCCAGGTTTGATTCCCAGCACCGACATGGCAGCTAACAGTGGTCCATAACTCCAGTTCCAGAGGATCTGACACGTCTTCTGACCTCCACGGGCATTTATGACAGAGGTGTACTTACACACATGCAGGCAATACATTCATACACATAAAAATAAAATAATAAAAAATACTAAGAATAAATAGGCCAGTGTGGTGGCGCACGGCTTTAATCCCAGCACTCGGGAGGCAGAGGCAGGCGGATCTCTGTGAGTTCAAGGCCAACCTGGTCTACATAGTGAGTTCCAGGAC